GGGAATTACACCATCTGACTAGGTTGTGGAAGAGCTGTGCTCTCTGAGCCCGACCACGTGGGCAAACTTCCAAGTTTTCCCTCTAACTTCTAGTGCCATGTGGCTTCCACAGGGCTCTTTCCCATGCCTGCCCTGCCAGGGAGCTAATGACCCCCCCCCCCCCAGGAGCAGCCCTCAACTGCAGACAGGGGATTTTACCACCTGCACTGGGATGGTGGCAGCCCAGACCATCTGTCCCACAGGCAGAGGTGCAGAATGACTTCTATGCTTTAACATTACCAGCTCACAGCCTGCCAGAATTCTCCCGCTCACCCACCCAGTCCAGCCATCATGTGTCCTCTTGGAGGAGAAGAAAGAAATAAAAAGAGAGAGAGAGAGAGAGAAAGAAAGAAAGAGAGAGAGGAAAGAAAGAAAGAAAGAAAGAAAAGAAAGAAAGAAAGAAAGAAAAAAGGAAAGGAAGAAAGAAAGAAAAAGGATAGATAATGTCAAATCCCCCAGCAAGTCCCAAGTCCTCCTTCCTGACCTGAGTAGAGAGCCCCTTGGCTCCCCTGAAGATAGATCTGTTAGTGTAGCAGAATGAAGGTCACGGCTCCTCCCAGCCATAGCTTGGCTGTGCAGTCACCATCTTAACTTTTCCAAGACTCTAAGACAAGGACTCCACCTTCCACCAGAGAGACTGCAACTGTGGTTGTAGATGGCCAGAACTCGTTGAGCCACCTCCTCCTTATAAGCACAGCACACATGCACACACACTCCACGCCCACTTTGTTCATTATGTGAGAAATAGAAAAGCCCTGCGGCTCATTTTCAAAATATAGCCTTAATTGGATCCAATTGTAGCCATTTTAATTATCCCCCTTCCCTTTGCCTGCCCCAATTTTAAATTAGCCAATCGAGTAGATTATGACCTGAGCTCCTCCAATCAGGGTGAAGGGCAGCGCTGGGTTAGGGACTGCCTGTTAGGTGCGTTTGCTGACCAGGTTTTAATAGCCAGCAAGAGGGCAAAAACTTGCCTTGCCTATCCACTTTAGAGCACGTGTTTGATTTCTTGCGGCACCTGGGTATTTCTAACAATTGAAGTACAACTGATTTCTCGCTGATCCATTTAGACGTAATGGGTTTTCTCTTAGTCAAACCTCTTCCTTCGAAATAGCATGGGGTAAGGTGGGAGGATATTCCACTCCCTACGAGTGCTTTATCTTTCCCAAAGAAACTAGTTGCTTAATTGAGAGCACAGTCCTGGTCATGTTGGCCAGTTGAAACATATCTTTGACTTATTCATCACGAGTAGCAGAAGCTATTAGTGCCCCACGCATACACCCTGGGCACTCACCGTTCCCCAGGCAGGCTCCAGTGCTTTCTATGATAAACACCTGCAGTTTTCTGCCTTGACCATCCTCTGCCTGCAGGAGCATGATCTCTTAGTGTGTGCTTGTACATGCTGCCAGTCCTGGGAAGTCAATGCCCCCAGGAGTGGTTTCAACCAATGACAGTTAAATATTAGAGGACAAATAGCCCAGATTCCTTGGCCTTTGATGGGACAACTCTGAAGCACCTTCTGCGTACTTCCTCTGAGGACCCAGGAGGATTGAGCCCCAGTGGGGCCATGTCTGACTGCCGTAGGGAGTGCAGGGGGTGAATGGTGTACACATATGTGTGCCTGTGGGCGCATAAAGTTTGTGCATAAGTGTACAATATGCGCTTTGGGGAGGAGTGTGTGTGATTGATCTGATGACTGTCCAATAAATATTCACTCCTCCTTCTGTTCTGGGCAGAGTGTACTTCTCTTCTCTGATATTGGGCTTGGCCATTGACTTGCTTTGGCCAAAAGTCTATTAACAGATGTGACACTGACAGTGCTTTTGCAGTCTGGTTGAGCTCTTGAACTTCAGTTCTCATGAGAAGAGTTTGCTTGTGGTAGTGTCATTCCTTCTACCTGGCCCCAGAATGGAGAAATAAAGAACAAACCTCAAACCAACCCGCAGCTGGGAGCCAACCTCAGTTGAGCCCAAGTGACCCACAGACCCTGGAGTAAGAAAAAAAAAAAAGAAGCTGGTGTTTTAAGCCTTTGGATTTTGGGGAACTTTGTTATCAAGCATTATTTCAGCAGTCACTGATAATTACAAAGTGCTATGTGGGATTTGTGAAGCATACGTATGGATCGTGGGCATGTGGAGATGTGTGAGTGTGGTGCATGTATATTCCATGTCCAGGCAAATGGTATGTTGTGACACACAGAAACAGAAAAAATAAGGATTATATAGAATAAAACCAAACCAATGAGTATGTATACCCACCCCAGAGTGGGCTGCATGTAGGTTCATACCCAGCTCGGGGTCAGAAGGTATCTCAGGTTCCTGGCAGAGAAGCCCACAATCTGCAGCCCTGCCAGTGGCTTCTAGGAAAGTGGTGTCAGCCAGACAGGGGTGTTTGACTTGACTGTTGTCCAGCAAACCCGGGAAGAGGTGGCACAAGCCCAGCTGGGTTGTGTCTGACCACACAACCAACCTGTGTGTGCCTTGGCTGCAGAGACTTCTGTCCCCACAGCAGGGCTTGGCAGCAAGGAAAACGCTCATGCTGCAACCTGGGAGATGAACAGAGGGACTCTGTGTGGAGCAGAAAGCAGCCTCAAACACATGATTGGGACTGGGCCTCTGCATGGAGCTGTGCCTCAGATCCGAGGCCCCAGGGACTCCCTGCAAGTGTCCCCTTTTCCTGCCCTCATGCATGGCCAGCTGAATAGGGACCCTGCAATGAAGAGAGCTCTTGAGTTCCATCATCCAGGCTGCACCTCAGTCCAGCAGCTGTGACCCTAGGCAAGTAACTGACCCTATCTGGGCTCAATTTCTCAACTTTAAAATAGAGATAAATGTAGTATCTCATTTGCAAGTGACTTAATCCCTGACAAGTGTTGGGCTCGCTGCCTGCTGATGGTTGAGTGTGTACCCTCCAGGTACTGCATTAAGTGCATTAAAGTATGTTACAGAAAGGATTTCACGTGCAGAAACTGTATAATGTCTGTGTTACCATCTGACTTAGGCTGGGCTCCCCCAGAGACAGAGCTTGAGACAAAGATTCAACTGAAAGCAATTTATTTGTGAGCTAACTCTAAGACACATAAGTAGAGAACTTGGGGGACAAGATAGGGAAAGCCAGCCTTACCCCTAGTGATAACTGGGCTTCAATCCTGTTGGAGACTCTGAGATGTGCAGAACATGCACATGGGGCATTTACACCAACTCCCATCAGTCATGGTTGAGGGCTGCCTCAGGAGGTGGCATGGCCAGCTTTTTCCCCTATTTACCTGGGAATGTCCCAGTTCCAGCATGGAGAGTCCTATGACCCGGGAAACCCACCCCAACCTGGATGGATGGTCACATCCCCTGGAGAGCATTAATTTCCCAGCACTTCCAGGGTGTCACACACTGGCCAGAGCCGGCTGCAGGGCCCAGAGCAAGTCAGAAGATAGAACTGCTGACATGTAGGAGATACTATGTACTAAAATGGCCAGGCCTGAGAGGATGAGGATGGGATACCCAATCCCATCGTGGAGGTGAGAACAATGAGGTTGGGAGAGGTGAAGTAATCTGCTCAGTTCACATGGTGGCAAGTGGCCTTGGGCACAGGGGTTTAGCCCAAGTCTATGCGATACTGAAGCCCGTGCTCCTGATTGTCAGGCTCCATGACTCCTCCTCCACAAAACAGCTGTGGAACACAGACTGGAGGAACAGGAAGGACTGCAGGGAATTGGCCAATCTGTGACTAGAAGCATCTACAGGTCTGCTATATTCAAGGGGCCACAGAGGCAGGAGGAGCTGGATGTTAGACCATGAGGAGGTGGGGCCCGTGGCCAAAAGGACAGTATAGCAGCCTCCAGCTACTCAGCTCGGGCTGATCCTGACCTATGGGAATGGAGGCCCAGTGTAAGTAAACAACCCTGAATTTTAAAGAAAGCTAGATTTTTATGGGAAATCTCCAAAGTATTATGTGTCATCTAAGAATATTTGTGTGTGTGTGTGTGTGTGTGTGTGTCTGTGTGTTGCTGGGGATTGAATCCAGGGCCTTGTGCATGCGAGGCAAGCACTCTACCAACTGAGATATATCCCCAGTCCTCATCTAAGAATTTTCTAACCAACCAAATATGGCATATTTGTCCCTGGCTACCTGGCTGTGACCCTGAATCTTGTCCTATGGCCAGTCTACTCATCTCCATAGGTGAACCTAAGAGCTAGTGTTGACCTTTATCTTCAATAAAGGTCTCTACAGAAATAGGGACTTGACCCAGTGTGCATGTACTGCACATGTCCACCTTTGCTGAGCTTTATTTGATTTTTGTCTATGTTTCTTTCCAGCTGTGTCTCTGCATGTGTGAGTCCACAACTGACTCCCAGCTTACAAAAACTGAGACCAGCCACAATGGTAACAGGCCAGTTAATAAAGAGCTGAAGCCCTCAGCAACTTAGGGAGGCCCTAAGCAATTAGTGAGACCCTGTCTCAAAATAAAAAATAAAAAGGGCTGGGCATGTGGCTCAGTGGTTAAGTACCCCTGGGTTCAATCCCTGGTACCATAGATAGATAGATAGATAGATAGATAGATAGATAGATAGATAGACAGACTCCCCAGTTAGATCCCATGCCCTAAGAGCCCAACCTTCCCTAGGATCCCCATTCTTCCCTTCAACACAACAACACCAGGGCATGGCAGGGACCACAGGCACTCTTGTGCCCACACTGAACTGCTATTACCCTTTATCTCTCTCCTCCTATTCTCTTTGCCTCTGTCTCTCTTGTTTCTTCCTCTTTCTTTTATTAAACTATACAAAACCATCTTGAATCATTGTTGATTCAAAGATATGCAGTTATAAACAGTGGCATGCTGGTAAACAGTTAACAACCCATTCTCTAGGAGTAAAAGATAGTCTGATCTGTAGCATTGGTTAATTTCTGTGGTGTACATATTCATACACTGACAAACCAGGACCAGGGGAAGAGTTACCTACCTGCAGAAGGAAGTCAAAGAGTGCCAGGCGTGCCCACTCCCCACGGTGGATGCCCAGGCACGAGGCCTGGCCTGGCCAGTTGCAGCCACGTGCCAGCAGGGCCTGATACTGCAGCCAGCCCAAAGCCAGAGAGTTCTGGTCTTCATCTGGGTCACCCAGGTGCTGCACATCAGGTGCCCACCAAATGACAGGCCTTGTGCCACCGTCCGTATAGCGATAGGGCAGCAGGGGACTGTGGAAGCGCCGGGCCACAGCAGGCAGGCTCCGGCGAAGACCCAGCACACGGTCCACGTGGAAGGAAAGGACTTCGAACAGGTCCCCAGGCCTCTTGATCAGACCACAGAGCCCCTGGGAGCAGAGTTGGCTGAAGCTGGGAGGAGACATGTCCTGAAGGGTACCCTGGGCAGAGAAGCCAACCTGCAGCACCTGCCCATGGGCGGGGACCCTGGCTTTGCCCACCACCTCTCCCTGGGCCAACATCCGAAGGGTCTGCACATCATGTTCTGTGAGCCATGGGGGAACCTGCCCAGCAGTCTTTGGGCTGGCCAAGAGCCCAGGAGTCTTCGCATCACACCATATGGACATCTGCAGCTCCCCAACAGAGTTAGGCCACTGATGAGCCCCCAAGCCTGGGGTGTTGTCCTCTGTTTGTCCCCCACCAGTTGAGATTCTGTCTTCAGTTCCCAGCAGCTGATCCCTGCCTGCCGCTGGAGCGGATGGGAGGGTCAGTGCAGCAGTAGGTCTCCAGGCTGGAAGAGCTGCCCCGTTGCTCCCTGTGAGTGGATTGACCAGGAAACCCATCTCTCTCCATGTCTCCTTGTTGGGGCTGCTGTGCCAGGGGTGTCCCAGGGCTTTGATTCCTACATCTCTGACTTCATGCTCCCCCAGAAGCATAAGATGCTGGGTACTGACTCTCAGATCTCTTGCCAAAGCAATGGCCCTCTTGGCCCTCCCCAAATGCCTGGTGTCCCCTTCTGGGGACTGCGTCCTTCTGTCCATTTGCCCTCTGTGGCCTTGCTTCTCAGCACAGGCCAAGATGGAATTCCTTGGCGAAGCCCGGCCTCTCCAGAATCCCATGTTCCTTGCTCGCTGTCTCCGGCTGGAGCTCAGAGCTTGGCGAATGTGGGGCCCAGGGGTGCCAGTCTCCCCCTGGGGATCCATAGGACCAGGGTCTGGGCCGGCAGCTAGATGCTCTGGGGGGAAGCGGTTAACAGCCACCACAGACAGGATCATCAAGAGGCAGAATGCCATCGCTGAGCGCCTCTTGCCACGCAGCCTTCTCCAGAGCCAAGATGCCTGGGGGATGGGGTGGGAAAAGATAGTTTAAGACTGGGAAAGACATCAGCCCCAACCCACAAAACCACGGCGACAGTGAACAAAGGAGCATCCTAGGTGCAGGGAAGAGTGAAGAAATAGTAGCCCAGGTGGAGGGACAGCTAGCTGCTCTCGAGAGAGAGCAAAGTCCGGGCAGCTTGGCTTGCCCTTACCTTCCGCAGGCCTTTGCAGAAAACACCTGCACACAGGCTTGGGCTTCTCCTCAGCCTCCCCTCTGGGTTAGCCACAGTACAACGCTGGCCATCATGCCCCACAAGGGAATTTTCCACATCTGTGTCCTCCACTAAGTGCTGGGAGCCCCTCTGCTCCCATCTCCATGTGATTCCATGGGCCCTCTCGAGAGACTTCTAAGTGTCCCCCACTAGTATGCTCATCCTCCTTTCCAGGGCACATGGCCATCCAGTGAAAGATGACTTTGCCCCACCTCCGTGGCCAGTGGCCATGGCCATGTGACAAAGTCCTTACCTTTGGCATGAGCGCCAACCACTCTGCCTGTGCCACCTGTTTCAAAGGAAGTTGGCTGCCATGGCCTTTCTCTGTCCCTTTTCTGGCCTACTGGCACTTGAATGTGGCAGTATCAACTCTGTACACTTTAGCAAGTGCACACCCAGGGCCAGTGACCAGCACGTGGTTCCTAGACCAGCAGCCTCAGTATCTCCTGGGAACTGATCAGAAATGTGGATTCTCAGGCCCTGAGAAACTGAGGTGACTCCATTTTTGAGAAACCAGCTTCTACCTCAAGGCCTGTCCAGAGGGAGGGGGCATGACCCTTGTCCTTAGAAAAACCCATAGACTGCCCCTAGGCACATACCCACCCTGCTGAGTTGTTTGTCTGTAAATAACAGGAGAGATCTGCAGAGCCAGGTGTCCCTGACTCAATTAGGCTAGGTGAGGACCCATAGCAACCCCCTAGCAACCACCAATCAGCATGAGACAGGGAAAATACCTGAAATGCCAGGTGACCCTCCCAGTAGTTTCGGTGATTGATAACACATTAGGAAACCGTGTATTTTAGCGTGTACACCCATCAGTTCAAATTTATCCACCTCTTGAAATCGCCAATCACCCCTACCCGACTTGTTCCCGCCAAGTGAATATGTTAATCAATGTTAAGAGTTGTTTGATTTCCCGCGGTGTGAAATGATTTGCTGTGTGATGTTGTGACGCATAGAGTATCCCCAAAAAACCTATAAATCCTCACTGAACTAAGGGCCAGGACTCACTCCTCGGGACCGCTGCGTCAGAAACGGTTGTGAGTCCAGGCTCCAGCTTGCAATAAAGACTCTTGTGTGATTGCATTGGATTCGGCTCCTGGAGTTCTACTGGGGTCCCACGAATCTGGCATTACAACCCTACTCCAAAAGCACTGAACCAGAAGTGGGCCCAGCATCCTGGGTTTTCCCAACTTCCCCCTATGACAGATGCCAGCTCAGGTCTGAGCACCACAGCTCTAAGGCAGCGTAGAGCCACTGGAAAGGGAAGGAATATGGGTTCCTGCAAGGCCAAGTAGGAGCAGAGCTGCCAGGAGCTGTCTGGGGCATCTACTGTGAGGTCTCTATACCCATGAGTATTTCTTTTAATGGCACCTGCCAGCAGAGCACTCATATATAGTGAGAATCAATGACTATGTGGCGACTGAATGGATTAAAAAAAAAAAATGTAGCCCACATCACAAAAACTCTCCCCAGATTAAATATACTTATTGCATTTGCCAGATTCTTCTCAGAGAGTTTTGATACTATGTGAAATATGGGACAAGTTTCTGGAATGCATAGAAAACTAGGCACAAAGTAGACAGAATTTAAAAATCTCCCTTAGGGCTGGGGATGTGGCTCAAGCGGTAGCACGCTCGCCTGGCATGCGTGCAGCCCGGGTTCGATCCTTAGCACCACATACAAACAAAGATGTTGTGCCCGCCGAAAACTAGAAAAAATAAATATTAAAATTCTCTCTCTCTTTAAAAAAAAAAATTTATTAAAAAATCTCCCTTAAAGAGGAAACCAGGCCAACAGAACAAACCCTGCTCCATTTTTCTCATGTATGTGCTCACTGTTCTGAAAAGTCCCTTTGTGGGTGACAAAAGGGAATTGTTCGGGATCAGTTCTGCAGTGAATGTCCAGCATCAATAGACTCCCAGTTTCTCTCAAAAGTGCCAGTTCTGTCCCCCACAATCCACCCCAGCAGCAACATTTGTCCAGGCCCCCTGACCCCGGACCAAAGCTGATGGGGTGGTCCTGGACCCTGACCAGTTCTGGGCCAACAGATCCTCGCCCCTGTCCTCAGCCCTGGGAACTTGGAATTGTGGTAAGGTTGACTTGCTCTGCTCATCAAATGAAAGTAGGGGCCCGTGGCCACCCAGCAAGTATGACAGCAGTTGGTCTGTTCTGTCGAGAGCCAGACTGCAGGGAGAGAGAAGGGAGGACTTCTACAGACAACCAGTGACAGAAACAGAAGGCAGCCTGGCCAGCTTCCTGGAGCTGCAGGCCCAGTCCTGAGCCTGGCCCTTGGGAGCTGCACTTACTGCCTGGACTCCACGGGACTCAGCAAATCCAATGTAACCCATCCTCTCTGTACTGGAGCCATGGACCATGTGCATTCCTGCTACAGGCAACCAAAAAGGCCTCATAAGATCATCTCAGAGGTCCCTTCCCTGTGCAATGAAGAGCATCCCCAGCCTCCCTGAGTCACCATTAGGCCCTCCACTTCCCTTCAACCATGTGACCTGGAGGAATGGCCCCCGGATGCGTTTTCCTTTTTGTCTGTTTTCAGTCTCTTTCTGAGCCAGTGGCAGTTTCTACAGGAAAGAAACACATTCTCTTCTCAGCACCCTGAACATCAGAAGATGAGCAAAAGGAAGTGGGAAAGCCTCAGAATATCCCACGGCCCCCTCCTGCCTCCATTTCCTCCACACTCATGCCTTCCCTGTCCCAGGTCTTCCTGTCTTTTGGAAATGAGGCCAACATCTCCCTCTCACCACCCCAGGGCTGGTGCATTAATGTCTTGTGGACCCTCTTCATGCCGGATACCTTGGCTGCAGGGAGCCAGTGTATAGTGTTAGGGAGAAAAGGAGTCAGCAGAGGCAGTGTGTGTTGGCTGCCTGACCTCACTCTCTGGACCAGCCTCCCTCACTACAAAGGGCCAGCTTGGATGGAATGACCCTGAGGGCTCCTTCCCCACAATAGCCAGTGATTCCAATTCAGGTGGACACTGGAAGTGGACTGACCCACATGTGGGCCCTCATGGACCTTCCCCTGACCCACCCACCCCTGATAAGCATCTACAGCAGAGCAAAGCTAGACATGAGGAACCCCAACACCAACACCCCCTAAGGCAATTTGAGTCCCTGAGGGATACCTTGAGGGGAGAAGGAGCCTGGAGATTTTCCTTGAAAATGTGTGGTCCTAAAAAAACTGTGCTCCCCAAACCTGGATTTCACCAGAATCTTTTCCTTCTTACTGGAGATGCATTAGAAAAATGGTTTTCAAACTTACTAAGGGAGTTGCATCATGGTCGACCTCGAAGCAGGAGTTTAAGAGAGGACTCTGTGTGCTGTGCACTCATCCCCCCGACACACACACACACATTTTACCAAAATAGCTTCTGTTTCTTACCAGGCTAAAAGGTAGCATTGTCCACTCAGATACCTAAACCAGAAGCCTGACCTTCATTCCACACCTTCTTCTGCCCCATATACCCAAGCACACTGTTTCCTTCTACACATCTCTTCAGTCAGTCCATTTCTCACTGTGCTGACTTGACTGAATCAAGGACACTGGCAACAGCCAACAGCCCCCTGATTGGCCTCCGTGCCAAACTCCCGCTCTTCTGTGATCCACTCTCTGCAGCTGGGTTACACCCTCAGAGCTCTTTAGAGAAAGTGCGCATGCCTCAGTGCTCCAGCCATCTTGAGCTTCTTCTAATTCTGGACAGAGGCATCCTGTCTCCACACCTTCACACCTACTGTTCCTTTAATCCAGGACATTCCTCTCCTGCCTGCTATTCTTCAGGTCTCAGCTTAGACCCGTCCCCTGGAAGTCTTCCCTGGAGGCCCCTCCACGGGTTGGACACCCTCTCTGTGTGCTCCCGTAATTCATTGCTCCTCCCAGGCACAACACTTTTCACTCTTTGTTCGGTATTTTATCATTTAACAGTCATCTCTCCCAATGGATGGGTTGATTCAGGTCGACAAGACCCTGACCCACTTGTCATTGCATCTCAGGACTGGCACAGTGCCTGGGACACAGGAAGCTCTCTATGAAATGAGCTTCAGATAAGAGGGGTTATCAGGGAGATGCAAACACTGTTCCCTGGCTAACCTGATGGCCAAGGGGACTCCTCCAATCCTAAGGTACTCAGATTCGTTTCAAACAGGTGTGGTTTGACACACAGACATAAAAATGATTGGGATGAAAGAAGTTTTTATTAAACTCAAGGTCCCCTAGAAACAGGAGGCATGGCATGCCACACAGGGCCACAACGTGAAGCACAGACAGGGAGAAAAACAGGCAGAGAGAGAGACGGGTGGCCCCTGGAAGAATAGGGAAAGAAAGGAAGGAAGCTGAGCAGGTTCAGGGCTGCATGACTAATTTCCTCTGGCTTTGGGCTACAGGTGTGTGGTTCCCCTTGATCCTGGGGGAGTTGAGGGATGGGAATAGTGTCCCAGACTGCAGACGCCTGATAGAAGGAGCAGGTGAGGATATGGACGCAGGATTGGTTGGTTCACTTATGAAGTCACACTCAGAGGCAAGTCTGTATACTACTATATCTAGGAATTACCTAACACTACAAAAACAGGACCTTCCTGAGCAGCAAGGCCTTGGAGAGCAGAGCATCAAGAATATAGAAAAGAGGAAATCAAAGTTATCATACTCATGTTACATCCCCAGCGGACAATCCTCCTGCACAACATCAGCTGCCACCTCAAGGCCTGAATCACTCTCTGCCTTCTTGCAGGA